TGTTTTTGAAGAACAAAATCAAAAGAAGAAAAAGAAAAAAGAAGAAATTTTGCAAGTTCAAAAACAATGAAAAAAATTCAGCATCAACTATCAAAGCAAAAATTGAGGAGGAGCATTATTTTTCAATTGCAGTAACTAAAGCAAAGGAGGAGTGTTGAAGTTTGCTTTTAGTTACTGCAGTAACTTTTAGCAAAATAAGTTATTTAGTTTGAATAAATTTGAATTTTGAATTTTAGTTAGTTTGTTTATGTTGTTGAGATATTTTAGGTTGTTTAAATTTTAAATTATGCAGATTATGTGTTCTATATTGGCTATTTAAAGCCCCTCAATGCTTAATAAAATTATTGAAAGCTATTGAAAGTCATTTCAATCCATTGAGAGACATTTTCAATCTTTTTGTGCTGCCCCATTTTTAAAAAACACCAACAGAAACAGAGAACTACGCTTTTGGTGAGAAGTGTTTAGAACGGTTCTCGGCTGCATTAGGTGGAAAGACTATTGCTTCTATTGCCATGGAGCAGCTGGAGGCTTACTTTGACTCCCTGGAGTGGGAGAAGCGACATGCAGCTCTCAGGGAATTTTATCAGATAGCTGAAGGAAGCTGGAAGGTACAAAACCTGTCTCGTTTAGTGTATTTATCATATAGTTATGTTGCAATGATTGTGTAACATTTAAGAGGTGCTTCTTAGCTCATAGTTTACTCATTTGTTAAAACTTTCTCTCTACCTGTTTAATTTTCTTAGCCTATTAGCTTGAACTCATTGTTTTTATCTGTCCATAGGTGATGATAAAGTATTTGGAGAAAATAGTGTATGCGGTTTTGCATTCTTGCCAAGATCCTCATCCTCGAGTCAGATGGGCCGCTATGGTTACAATCGAACAGTTGTCGGACGACTTTCATTGGGAGTGGCAAGAAGAATACCATAACCAATTAGTTCCTGTAATAGTTGCAGCAATGGATGATTTTCCTCGGGTGCAGGTGAATAATGAACCCTTTATGGTTGTTGCAGACTTCCCAAAATACAGTACAGCTATAAATAAAAAAATAGATTATGATTAAAAATTAGACTTCTCTATCCTTTGTGGTTGTTGAGAAGTTTCTTGACTATAAAACCTACAGTTAATTGTGCTAGAAAAATACCCAAGGGTGTGACTTAGTGGTCAACGAAGTTGGTTGATAACTATGAGGTCTCAAGTTCAAATTTCAGCAGAGACAAAAACACTAGGTGATATCTTCCCATTATTCTAGCCTTGGTGGACAGAGTTACCTGGTATTTGTTGTTGGTGGAGGTGACAGGTATCTCGTGGAATTAGTGGTCTTCAGTAGCCACTTGTGCTTCAAGAATCTTTGTACAATTAGTAGCTTAATAGCCTTAACTTATGGAGCCTTCATAGCGCATTGCTTGAAATTTAAGCTTATGACTATATTATGGTCTACGTAAAGCTCTTGCCTTAAATGACTGTAATATATTAGACTAGAGAGAAAGCAACTGCAGAAAAATATGTCACGGGAGGTATCTGAAATGACCCTTAAATAGAGTTTGAAGAGTCCATGGTATAAAAATTAGGCGCAGATGTGTCAGTACTGCATCATTCAGTTCATGATACATACTAACTTGTTTTACTCTCTTTTGCCTTTTCATAGATAGCTGCAGCTTGTGCTCTTAGACAATTCTTCAATCCTGATATGCCAGAAACTTTGGTACCTTACTTGGATCAAATACTCAACAAACTGCTTGTACTTCTTCAGGTATGCATATATAGAGGCCACCGTGTTAAAAAGGTATTTTACTGCTAACAAGTTTTAGAGGATCTTTTCTTACTCATTTCTGTTATTTGAAATGCAGAATGATGATCAAATGGTTCAGAAAGCAGCAATAGAGGCATTGATCGATATAGCTGAGTTTTCTAATGTATTACCAACTTGAATTGTTTTTCCCACTCAAGTTCTATTTTTTGCTTATGTTATGGATAATGTATCATATTTCAACAGGAGCACTTCAAGAATTTCTATGATTTTGTAATGCCAGATTTGAAAAGTATCCTGGTAAATGCAAATGAGAAATCTAATCACAAGCTTCGAAGCATCGCCTCGCAGTGCATACGCAACGTTGGGTTGGCTGTAGGCAAAGAGAAATTCAGAGCTGACTTAGAGAAGGTTTCCTCCCAACTATGCCTGATACTTCTTTCTCATAAGCATACGATGTAAATTAAGTGATAACTTGAGTTGAAAAATATATGTTAATGAAGTGATAAAGTGTATGTAAGAAATGCATGTATTCATTGATTTGGTGAAAAATATACTTCCTGGACAGTTGGGAACAATGACTAATGACTGTGATATCTTTTCTCATACTAGTTTCTTTTTGGTCGCGTTCTGCCTCTTTTATGACGCTCTCTTTCTTTTCTAGGTGGTGTGAGCATATTCATTTCTCATTGTCGACTTATTTTAATAGTTTTTTTTGTCCGTTGTTAAAGGTTATGGAAGTGCTCAAGCCATTACAAGAGTCTGGTACTAATATTCACATTCTAAAGGTATGTGTTAATCCTTTTCATTTTACAGGAACACAACTTCTTTTTAGATTGGCATCTCAATGTTTTTTTCACTTCATCATAGGCATGCCACTCAATTTGTAAGTGCATCGGTAAGGAATTTCTTCCTTACATGAGTACTGTTATGCCACTTTTGGTTGAATATGCTCAGCTTGAGATAGATAAAGACTTGGATGATGAATGTGATGATAGGTAAGCTTTTTATCATTGACGTTTGTCTTTTTCCGTTAATTTTTAAATTCATTCGGATTTTCTTCATCTTAATTTGGTTTCTTACTTCATTTCTATACAATCTAGGGTAGAAAGCAGCTTGAATCAACAAAAGCCTACGTGACACGATGGTCTAAATAGATATTTGAGTGTTATCTTGCTCTCCGAATTTTCTAACCTGCAGTCCTGCACTGGCATCTCTCATTGGTTTGATATAAATGATAGCGAGTGTAATCCTCAACCGGTCCCTTTCACACTATCTGTAATTCTAACAGCTAATTCTGCTGCCACTTCCTACCCTGAATGTATTGTTGCTGCTGAAGTTTGCAACCCATTCATGATATTCCTTCATAAGCCGCAATCAAATTGCGGTGTGGTGTTCCTTCTCCTTCATCCCCAGCCTATTGTGTTATACTCTCGTCTATTACCTCCCTCCGTAGAGCCTGCATATCCACATCCATTTATCCAGTAATGCCTTGTTAAGCACTCTGAGATCCTTCACCCCATGCCCTCTCCACTACTTTGGTGAGGTGATAATCTCCCAGTTGACTACATGAAATTTTCCTAGCAGTCTTATCCGCTGCATTCCGTAGGATGTTCCTCTGTAGCCTCTCCAATTTCTCAGTCTCCCTAGACAGTGAGTGACATAAAGTACGCGGATATGCTTGACGATGTGCTCTTCTGATTAGCACTTCCTTGCCTCCTATCAGTAAGTACCTCTTTGGCCATTCAACTAGCCTCTTCATTCTCAATACTCTTTTGATAAGTACCTCTTAGACCCTTGCCACCATCCATCATTTCTGTGTTTAAATCTATAGCTCAAAGTGGCATGACATGTTTTCTACGTCTCAAAATTTGACCCACTGACATATATTGCTTTGACATCTGTCAGACCAGTGTTATCAAAGTGCAAAAAGGCTCTAAGGTCCTTAGGGGATTTTAGCGCAAACAAAGCATGAACTTTAAAGAAAAGAGGCGCAAATGGAGAAAAACTACAAATATGTATGTGTAGTCCAAGATTAATAATCATAAGCATGAATAACAAATATACAGTCAAAGAAATTGATATTTTTTTATGATAAAAGTGAAATGTCAATTATATAGTGTCACATCTTCAGGATTGCACTCATCGGTAAGGAAAAGTATGTATTAGAGCCTTACACACAACACTGAATCATCCATAAACCAAGGCGAATCATTCAACATGTTTTGTCACATCCTGTTGTCGTGCGCCTTTGACAACAGTGTGTCAATTAGTTTGCCACATCCTGTTGTTGAATTCTTTTCCAGATGTATATAATTTCTTTTGCTATACTAATCAGTACTAAGATTGGTGGGAGTATGTGGTTATTTGTTGCTTAAGTTTCACATTTTACAGTATACATGAAGTCAAGTTAGGAGATGGAAGGATACGCATCACAATAAAGGACCTCCTAGATGGGAAATCTACAGCCTGTAATGTCCTTGTTTTATTTGCTGAGACATTGCAGGAAGCCTGTACGTTTGCTTTATTCCACTCGATGTTAAGTGGATTCGATATTAACTAGTGATATTTATGTCTTAAATCATGTAACAGGCTGCTTCAATTTTAATTCCCCTTCTGAATTTCTCTATGGATTATTATGTCAGAGTTGAAGCTATTTATGGTAAAAATTACTCATGATTTCATATGGTTTTCTTTGTTTTTTCGTTAATTTATCTGATTCCTCATGAGATGTTATAATTTATGGTGGTTAAGCAATGTCATGCCTGTTGTGTTCTGCTAAACTTTCGGAAGAGAAAGGGATTGCTCAAGATGGAATCCAGTTAAACTTCAAGCAGTTGTCTGAAGAGATAATACTGGCTCTGGGGGAAGCTTTATATTCGGTTGCTTTCAACATATTACTATTTACGTTTTTTTGCTTCTAATGATTGAGCTGCATTTATCTGAATAAAGAGCAATAGTGACACTTCGATTGTTATCTCATGCAGGAGACTGAGACAGAAACATGTACAATTATTTTGAGTGAATTGAATAAATGCCTAAAGGTGTGTCATGCTAAGACGTTTCTTTACTTTGATCCGTGTCATCCTGTGATGGCGGTGTTCTTTTTTTGAGCTTATGAAATGTTTTCTGTAGATCACTGTTAAACCAACTTACGAAATGTTTCATGATTGCTGTCGAAGCAAGAAATAACACTAGTTATATGGTCCTTTTTTGTGTCTTCTTTCAGATATGTAGACCACTTCTCAATGAAGCTCACGTTCGTAGCATCACTGATTGGATAAAGCATGTCATTAGAGAAGGTTCACTTAGAAAAGGAGAACTCATAGACAGAAAAATCAGAAGACTTTGATGCAGAGGAAGCTGACTTGCTGACCTACGAAAAAGAGCCAGAAGAAGAAATTTTCAGCAATGTATGTTCAAGAGATGATTAATCATTTGTAAAATAACTGTATTCGTTCTGTAGCAGATCTTTTACATGAAGTTCAGACATAACGACACCATGTTGTCTTCATAAAACCTTTCACTTGGATTTTTCTCAAATCACAAACATTTTTCTTTATCAGGTTGTTGACATAACATTGATCGAAACATTCAAGGATGCTTTCTTGCCCTTCCATGAAGAGCTTTCATCAGATCTAATGCCTATGAGGGTGAGTTTCTGGTTAGATTTCAGCTCAAAATAGGTTGCTTTTCTCATAGTTCTTGTTTTTTCCTCTGCTCAAAGGGAAAGGATGAAACAACTGGAGAGAGAACACAACATATTCGTACATTCAATGCCTTCATGGAGCATTGTGATGAAGTAGCTCAAAAGTAGGTCTATCTTTTATGATATTTTTCTTAGATAATAAGGTCATGTTCTGATAGTTACTTTCTGCTGTAACTAGGTACCATAGTTTATATCTTCCTTTTCTCTTAGACGCAAGCAATGACGACAATCCAGATGTTAGACAGGTTTGAATATGATCTTTCAGATAAATTACATTTGCTATTTGATTCATTCAAACACCATTCATGTCATGCTCAGGCTGCATTTTGTGGACTTGGACTTTGTGCTCAATATGGTGGTAATGATTTCTAACCTTTTATTGGAGGTATGATTTGTTTCAACATGTAATTCAGACGAATATGTTTTTGTCATTTGATAAATTCCATGATTTCAGAGGCTCTTTCAAGGATCAATGTAGTCATTAAGCATTCCAAAGCTCTTGAACCTGACAACGTAACGGCATATGATAGTGCTGTTTCTGCACTTGGTTGCATATGTCAATTTCATCTGGAAGTTATTGACTCAGTGCAGGTATGTTTTTTTCCAAATACTTCTTCGATCTACCTCTACCTCTCCTCAGACCAGCGATAGCCAACCTTTCACACCTCCTCACTGGGGCATCTTTGCATCTCCTCTTCACATTCCCGAATCATCTCACTCTCCCTTCTCTCATCTTATCCACCGTGGAGGCCACCCCCACCAATGATCCACTTACATTTTACCGCTTGTTGATTTGCAACCTTTCCTAATCCTCTTTCCTTTTATTTACACCCTTTTAGAGCTATCGTGTTATGCATAAACATGTAGATTTTGATCCATTCCAAGATGAAATGATGCTACTCCAATCTTGTTAAACTTACACAATACTCTCATTCCATGTGTTTTTGTAGATTATTCCGGCTTGGCTAAATTGTCTTCCGATAAAAGATGACATGAACAAAGCCAAAGCAGTTCTAGACCAGCTCTGTTCAATGGTTGAAGGGTTCGATTAGTTTTCATCATCACCTCAACTATCAGTTGTTCCCTTTTCCTACCTAAATGATGGTAATAGGTATTAACTTCTAACTTACAGATCAGACAGAGAACTATTGGGTCCCAACTATCTGCACCTTCCAAAGGTTATTTCAGTTTTTACTGAGGTTAGTTCAAAATCACAACTAGTTGGTATATCAATGATTCCACGACAGTGATTTTAATATTTACTTTTTGTAAGAAAGACGATAGAAAACCAAGGCTTGTAGTCTAGTGGTATCGAGGTGTGAGTTTAATGCAGTAGATATCGCATTATATGTTAGTCAGTTGACAATTAGGTGTGGAAGTTGGTTGGTGGGGAGGGCGTGGAAGTGGTTCTTTCTCCATTTTTCTATATGGATGCTTCCTTCGACAGTAACTGAAAGCCTCTTATTATAATTAGGTTCTATGTGCTGGAGACGATGTTGTTACAGAAGAAACTGCAAATCGCATAATTCATCTGTTAAGGCATTTCAAGGAAACAATACCACCAGCCATCTTGGCATCAGCACGAGCGTTGTTATTGCCTCAGCAGGAGATGGAATTGGAATCCATTTTATCACCTGAACAGGAAGACGTTAAAATTTCAGCTCGTGCAATGAAACTAGTATATGGCCTCGTGACTTGTTGCAATCAAACATCGTGTTGGTCAAATGTATAAGGTTCAGGGTTGGTTATCACGTTTTTGCAAGTTTCATACTTAAACTATGTCTAGTTATTTTCAACCCCGAACTATTTAAAAACGTTGGCCTGACAAATGGCAAAGTGTTTGTTAACACTTACTTAGAGACGTATGGAGAATGAAATAACTCATCCACCTGGCTTTTATAACGTCTAAAAGTTTAGTTCAGGAGGAAAAAAAACACCGGATAATTTAAGTATGATAGTTTTGGGAGAGGGGTGGAGTGGAGTCTAGCCACCAACTCTTCTTCAAGCAAAACATGGCATCAAACATCACCATATATGTCAAACATACAAATCCCAACTATGGTTCACAAGCAATTTTCATCACTTACCACTTATACTGTGAATGTATAACCTGATCAATTGTGATGTTATTCTTGTGCTTTCACAATCTAACAATGCAAAATAACAACAAAACTGGATCAAAGCTTCGACACGAGTCGTCTCCTTGACAACACCTCAGATGCTCCTTTTCATTTTTAGTACACACACTTCAAAAGCAAGGCTACCTCCATTGCTCACGTACTTTTAACCCAAACCAATAGTAGACTGACACATGTCCTAACGCTCAAACGAACGATATATATGAGAAAGAATTTGAGAATCAAATATTTGATAATTCATGATTCATGAAGCTACAGGCTGAGAAGCTCCATTGCATTGGAGAAAACTTAAAATGACAAATTTAAGATGATAGAATTGATTTCAGTGCTGTTTGCTGCTGAGGTTGCAAAGAAGACCATATTGAAGTCAGTGATGCAGGTGGTAGTGTTTCCTGGAGCTGCTTCAACAGATTAATCATCCGGCTTCGTGTTTCTTCACTAGCAAGTTCCTCATCGGCACATAAAACCTACATATGAAGCAAATTTGGATTACAAAATGGTAGTGAGATGAATATTACTTTGATACAAGGCTATAATACTTTAAGACGACCATTGTAGCAAATCAATCAACTACTAGAGTGTGAGGCCAAAGATAATCCAGAGGTTGTCGAGAGAGACTCCCAGAAGGACTAAGATACAAG